AGGGTGAGCCCGAGGTGCCGCGGCCCCCGAGCCAGGCCGGGCTGAGCTCCGGCCAGCGGGAAGGCAGCCGGGCGTCCCGCCTTTCCTCCCCGAGGACGCGCGTCCTGCACTGCACCGCGCTCCCTCGCTCCTGCCGCCCCTGTCCCTCCGTCCTTTGGGCCGTCTGTCTCTCTGTCTGGGTCCCCTTGTCTTTGTCTCAGCCTTTCCGGCTCGCAGCCCGCATTTTGTGGCCCAGGCACCGGACTGACCGTGTCCACGGTCTTGGCTCCCTCTGAGACCCCCTGCCTCTCTGCTGGGTCCGGCCTCGCTAGTGGAGCGGGGTCGGTGTGGAGCGGTTTGGTGTCAGCCCACCGTGGCCCCTGCCCTGTCCTGTGCGGAACCCCAGGCCGCCCCTGGACCCCTCTCCTGTTTGCCTGGCTGCTCTGCTTCTTTCCGTGCGCACCCCCCTCCCCGCCACCTCCAGTAGGACCGAACACCTCGGTCTGGGTAGGAGCAGGGACATTAGCCCTGGAGAGCTGAGGGGACAGAGTAAGGCGTGCCGACCTCAATGGCCGGGGAACGCAGACCCTGGAACTAGTTGCGCCTTCTTCAGCCTCAGTTTCTTTTTGGATCCTGGGGAGAGATACAACCCCTCCGGTCTTGTTGCCCAAGTGAGCGCTAGGTTGGAGGCCGTGGTGTGTCTGGGAAGGCAGCGGGATGGGGCACAGGGTGGCAGAGGGAAGCAGGGGGTATCTGAGGGCCTGGGACCGTGCGGTGGGGGGATTGTAGGTGGCTTCCCTGCTTGGTTCTAAGCTGTATGGAAAACCAAGTCCCAAACCACCGCCTACCATGAGCCTGGGCCTCCAAGAGCCCCTGCAGGCCCTGAGCAGAGGCGCGTCCTCCCTGGGGTTCTTCCCCACGTTGCCCGCTCACCCCCAGGCCCCAGGCCCCCAGGTGCCCCTCTGTAGGGCAGCCCTGAGAAGGACTTTGGAAGAGCCCCAGGCTAGAGCCCTTGGGTTTCAGCTTTCCCAGGTGTGGGAGAGGTCCCCTTCCCTCCTCCCTGGTGGGGACCGTAGCCAGCAATGTCCCTGGCTGCAGGTCTGTGGGGCCGGATGGGACAGGCGGCGATGACTCACAGGTGTTGACTTTCCCAGCACGATGGTGGGTGGGGTCCCTTGTCCTCTGCCTGTCTCCACTCTGTGCCTCTGTCCCCACCCCCTGTGGAGCTCAGAATGGGCACAGAGACCCTCATCCCCAGCCCCAGATCAGGGCAGGGCTGAGAGACCAGAGGGACACCCCACGCCCACGAGCTGCCCTGTCTTCTTAGTGATGCCCCTCTCCCTGGGGAGGGGGGCGGCATGGGGGCAGCAGAGCCAAGAGGGTGATTTCTCTCAGTTTCCACATCTCTGGGTCTGTCTCCGTCCATCTGTCTCTCTCTCTCTCTGCAGGAGCGGGGCACTTCTCATCTCTCTTCCTGCCTGTCCTTTCCTGGCCCTGCCTGCCCCCCCACACTTGCCCCCCCGTCCTATAGCAGTCCAGGTCCCCTGGGCCCCTTAGCTCTTCTCCGGGCCATGGGGTCACCGCTGGGGCTCCTGCTGCTGCTGCTGCTGCTGCTGCCGCTGCACCCCGTAGCTGAGGGCCCCGCCAAGAAGGTGCTGACCCTGGAGGGGGACCTGGTACTGGGCGGGCTGTTCCCGGTGCACCAGAAGGGCGGCCCGGCCGAGGAGTGCGGGCCGGTCAACGAGCACCGCGGCATCCAGCGGCTGGAGGCCATGCTCTTCGCCCTGGACCGCATCAACCGCGACCCGCGCCTGCTGCCCGGGGTGCGCCTGGGCGCGCACATCCTCGACAGCTGCTCCAAGGACACGCACGCCCTGGAGCAGGCGCTGGACTTCGTGCGCGCCTCGCTCAGCCGCGGCGCCGACGGCTCGCGCCACGTCTGCCCCGACGGCTCCTACGCCACCCACGGGGACGCGCCCACCGCCATCGCCGGCGTCATCGGCGGCTCCTACAGTGACGTCTCCATCCAGGTGGGCTGGCAGCTGCCGGAGTGGGCGCTGGGGAGGGAGGCAGGAGGCGGAGGGCCGAACTCCCGCCGGGACAACACCGGGCTTGGCGCTGCCGTGCCCTGCCCTGCCTGCCGTAGAGGTTTCCTCCAGGGACACTGGAAAACCCCCCTCTCACAGGATAGGGTCGATGCTGAGAGACTGTTTCCACTATTGCTGCTTACCCGCCCCGCCCGCCCCACTTACTCTTGTTTGACTGTTTGGCTACTCGAAAGGATAACGATATTTCATGATAATAGGCAGGCCTTCGGAGCCAGGTTTGAATCCAGCCTCCCCACCTGTGTGTGTGTGGGGGCCGCCCTGGGCCGGTCAGCTCCCCATTCTGTGCCTCCGTGTCTTCGTTGTCAAATAGAATGCAGGACACTTGTCCCCACAGGGCTGGCTGTGGTCAAAATCTAAGGAGGGGGTGTGCCAGGCATGACAAAGGGGGCCTGGCACATCGTATGGTTGTCACATCTGTGTTCACTGTCATTCCCAAGGAGCCCTGGTGGCAGAGTTGGGCTGCTAATCCCGAGGTCACCTTTTGGAACACCCCTCTACCCCCCAGGAGAAAGAGGAAGCTCTAAGCTCTCTGCTCTGGG